TTACACAAAATTGACTCTTATGAGTTTAAACCATGTTAGCATGTTGTTTCCTCATCAAAAACATACCTGGAGTTGTGTTTTGTTACATTTACACATGTCTGAGTAATCCTTTAGTCTGTCTACATCTCAAAAGTTCAAAATGCTCGTGTGATGTAATGTCGTGGTAGTTTTCAAGTTAAGAGCTGCCTTTTAACTTTTGTTGAACAGAGACAGGCAGTTCCAGGGCTGAAATGATCCAAATGATTTTAGTGAAGGTCTATGGAGTTTAAAACACAGTAGAGCACTTCCTGTAGCACCACATGACATCACAAGTTGGATGGAACAGACTGTTTTCTGTTTGAGAGAAAAATTAAGCAGGGTTTGTGTGTTAAACTTATGTGAAAGAAACAAAACATAACTCCACTATTGGGGATATAACATCTATTTTATCATTTGAGTTGTACACTGCTGACAAAGCCTTACATCTTGCACAAAATCTGATATTTTCAAGGGATACACATAAACATATGAAAAACTAAATCATATCTGAAGGAGCCATTCAAAAAACACAAGTTGTTTCATATTGTCAACATAAAGCTCTTGTAGACACTTGTCACTTGTAGACAGGGCAACTATGAAATAAGTTGGGAGGGAACATGTTGTTAATGCATTTTATTGTTAAAATAAATGTTTAGGTAAAATAAAAATAATCTCATAATTAAATTTTCTCAAATACAAACAAAAAATACCAGTTTTGAATTACTATCAAATTCTTCTTCAGGAGAGCGAGAACTTGGAGAAAGAAAATGATGCTCTGAGGAAGGAGGTGAAACAGCTGACTGAAGAAGCCAAGTATCTGTCATCTGTGCTGAGCAGTCACGAGCCTCTGTGTAAGGGCCTGACCCCAACGACCCCTGACCTCATCTACCCTGCCCATCATGGCTCCTACCACCAGCACATCGCCGTGTCACACTACCAGCACTGACCTTTCAACTCTGACCCCAACTTATAACCTCAATGGAGCGACAAGACCAGAGCTGTACTTACAACATACTGTCTATACGAGTCAATGACAGCAAACTGTAACAGGGTGAAATTCACTATTTATTTTGCTTCTGCTCTTCTATGTCTTTATGATTTGTGATTGTATTATGGAGTGCCAGTCTATGTTTACAAAGGGACATATGAGACCAATTATTGTATGTTAATGAAGAGAGAGTATTTTTGTAAGCAGCGATTTACTAGTGTTATACAACTTTTTTCTAATGCTGTCTTGTTTTTGGAGTCATTTTATGTATTTTTGCTCAGGAGCCACTGACAGATGTGATTGTTTGACAAACAGAATGTACAAAGGTTGACATGACCAAAACATGGAGAGAGAGCTGACCAATTTTATTGCGCTATCTGAATAGTGATTGTACAAGAGATACATTATTGTCTATTTATTAAATGTGAAGCCTTGCGCCTAATCTTGACCTTGTCTTTTATTTCTTGTCACCAGCAGACAGGGCGTGGGTGCCTGTTCTGTATTTGATAAAGACTACAACTGCTGTAGATGTTATCTGTATGCAGTCTCTAGGTGGCGGTGTTGAACAGCACAGCAAGTTGCCTACTTTCTTTGGTAGTTTAGGACACTTTTTGTACAGCAATAACTTGTCTATTGGCATTGTGCTTAAATCCTGTTAACGTATGTTATTTAGGAATAATATAATAATAAAACAATTACAGTCATAATGTCAGTTTCAGTTTGCAGGGGTTGTTTGATTTAACTTTAAATTACCCAAACTGTAGTAAGCATATTTTATTTTATAAATAAAATCTCATTTGAGGTTCAAAATCCTATCTCTATAATGCCTGGAATCTCACATGTAGAGACAGTAGCCTATGAAACGTTTGCAGGCATAGTTCACTCTGTAACTCCGCCCTGGGCCCGCCCCATAGTTTTGTTTGCCCGACTTTTTCAGAGGAGTTTCCGAACAGGGGATCCTGGGTCAGGACGACACACGTGTTGGTACCAGTCCGTGCGTACAGAATGTGTTCAGGGAAAAAGGGGACAGGCTGTTAAAGAAATGCAACGAAGGACTTTAAAGCAAAGTTCAGTTGAATGACCGACAAGACGACAGGAAATGAAATAGTGGAGTGTAGGGCCTTACCAAGAGTTAAAAGTGGAACTAAGCTATCAGAGTTTGAGGTTCAGTTTACGCTGTCAATACGAGGAGGCAAGAAGCAGTGCTAGAGCTAATGCGTAATAAAGCGGAACATTTTTGCAATTGTGGCGAGCCATTGTCAATTTCAAGTTGATTTAAAGAAGAAGTCAAAGTTTTTAAGGGATTATGAGTGAAAAGGAGGTGTTTGAGGACAGTAAAGTGAATGGCGCCCAGAAAGAGGTGGATTTGGGGAGACTCTCTAAAGCAGCAGAAGGAGAGAATGGCACGGAGCAGTGTGCCCGGGACGAGAAGCAGTTGTTCAGTGACGTGCCCTTGCCACCGACCCGACTGTACAAGCGGCGTTGGCTCATAGTGTGTCTCTTCAGCAGCTACTCCCTCTGCAACTCCTTTCAATGGATACAATACGGCATCATCAGCAACATCTTCATGTACTTCTACAGCGTGGACGCCTTTACAATAGACTGGATGTCCATGATCTATATGCTTACTTACATTCCTTTCATCTTCCCTGTCACCTGGCTGCTGGACAAGAAAGGTCTTCGGGTCATCGCACTGGTGGCTACAGCCCTGAACTGTGTCGGCACGTGGGTCAAGGTCCTGAGTGTTAAACCAAACCTGTTTGTAGTCACATTCGTCGGACAGTTCTGCTGCTCCTTCGCTCAGGTGTTCATTCTGGGGATGCCCTCCAGAATCGCCTCCGTGTGGTTTGGTTCACGCGAGGTGTCTACTGCCTGCTCCATCGGAGTGTTTGGGAATCAGGTAAATGGTGCATGTTAAATCTCCATCCACTTCATCACTCCTTACCTGTAATGGCCTTGTTTTTAACTTAGTTCGACTGACCAATGCGACCGTTCACACGGGCAGTTATAAAGTGCACGTCTGCGTAATTACGCACATTCCAACTTTGGCCTTAACTATATTAAATATTCTGTTATATTGGCAGTCGATAATATTGGAATATGGGGATATTGTATATATGACCCAGATGACTATTTTATGAAATGTGCACATTTTCTGGTGCACATTTTAATGCCACCTGCTTGTGTCCATAGAGATTCTATTGCTTTTAGGTTCATGTAACTTTATTTATACCCATAGGTAGAACTACTTTGCAGCTGGAGCTGGTTTACATAAGCCACACAAATCACAAACACAAAACATGATAAAACAATTAAAAAGAAAGTAAAACTAAAACATTACAGATGTCCATAAAGTAATACATATAAAGATATAAAGGTGCAATTTAACAATTCATGTCCAATTTACATTTTATTTGGCAAACAAACAGCTTCTCTAATAGAGCTGTTTTTAAAAGCACTTAGTTTGATTCTTTAGGACCAGGTACAGATGGAAAGAGCTGAAAATCATTGTTCATTTTTAAAGTAATGTTGCTCAATATGGCATTAAACTTATCTACCTAGAGAGGCAGGTGACCCTCCACTTGAGCAAGTCATCTAGTGCACTATATTATTTGCAGACAGTGGAGTATTCAAAGAAATCCAATGAAAAACTAAATTCTAACATGGTTAGGAAAAGTTACACAACACCTTTGAATAACTATTGACCTAGTATACTAGTACTCTGTGTAGGACTTCACGATGAACATTAGCTGCAGTCTTGACATATCTACCACCATGAATTCAAACTACTGTTTATAAGTAAGCTTTTCACTTGACACAAAATTAATATTTACTCATAGCAGTCTTTGCAAAACACTTCATACTGCTGCAGACTAACATAAGTAGAAGGACAGAGCAGACTGGTGTCTCAATGGCATTACATGTAGCTGGGAATGTAGCATCAGCCTTTTGTTACTTCATTGGTAGAGTAGTTCGGACCACGCCACTGTTAAACTATTGCTCGGGCTTGATCTTCGCTTTACTCCTATTCTTCCTCACTTTGGGACAGTCAAAATGCCACGAAACACTAACTTGAATGGCAACTATGCAAATTCACAACTCGGCGGAAAGGACTTAAAGACCAAGGCAACTTGGGACAACGCTCCTGGTCTTGCTTCTCTTGAATGGAGCCCCGGACCACTGGCTATTGGCTCTCATTTGGATATTGAGTCTATTAATGGTGATTTGACCCAGCTTGTTTCCAAGGCTAAAACTAAACTCTACCATCGCCGTTGGTTCATGCTTTTCCTCTTTTGCCTCCTGTCAGCTTGCAATAGCTTTATGTGGCTTGAGTATGGCATTATCAGTAATATTTTCATGCACTTTTACAGTGTTGATGCCCTTGCTATTGACTGGCTGTCTCTCATCTATCTTCTCACCTACGTACCTCTCATTTTACCCGTCCTCTGGCTTATGGACAATAGAGGAATCCGAGAAGTTGTCCTTGTTGGTGCTGCTTTTAACTGCATTGGTGCTTGGATCAAAGTAGGTAGCGCTCGTCCAGACTATTTTGCTGTTACATTTTTTGGGCAGTTTATTTGCTCGGTTGCTGTGGTTTTTATTCTTGGTATCCCCTCATACATCGCATCAGTTTGGTTTGGAGACAAGGAAGTTTCAACTGCCTGTTGTATTGGAGTTCTTGGAAATCAGGTGTGTTCATAGTAACTTCAAACATGTTGTCAGTATGTGGTTCTTATATCTGCCCAAGGCTCATGCAGTAATCTTTCAACTTTCAACTGGTGCTTGTAGCTTATTCAAGGCTCAGTCAGATGCCAATGAACTAAAGGATTACATTACTCTTGGGCTGCAGTCTATAATCAGGTTAAGATGGCTGCTCATATTTGTGGAAATACTATAAAAACAATAAACAATAGCTTGAATGTCTACTGTAGCTGATCAGAAAGTTGGCACACAGCATATTGTCCCTAGAGTAAGTTAAATGTAATACAATGCGATACTGTAGTATCTGCTTTCATTGTGTACCATTACCGCTACAGTTTACCACTTCATAAGGTCAAATCAAAATTTAGCATGTTCTTTTAAAATATTAGAGCATGTTCTCCATATTTGAATTGGTTGTGTTTATTAATTGGGTAATCATTATTGCAATTTGGCACTTTAAATTATAATTAACCCAGTGGCCTACATTGCCACCAGGTTTAACTGAATGCAATCCAGTGTTGTTGTTACTATTTAATTATATTTTGTTTTACAGTTGGGTATTGCCATTGGATTCCTGGTGCCGCCCATTCTTGTCCCCAATGTTGAAGACAAGGAGGAGCTGGCTCGCTACATCAGCATAATGTTTTACATCACTGCAGGCGTGGCCACTCTGCTCTTTGTACTCGTCATCTTTGGTATGAACTCATCTCAACTTAAAAACAAAAATTGGTTTCAGTTTTAGGGCTGTAGGCCTTTAAATATTTAGTCGATTAATCGATTGATGTTTTTGGTATTTTTTGGTATTTTTATGTAAAGGATGATTAAACTCATGATTTTCAAGTAAAATCTGTATATAAATAAATAGTTGTTATTTTTGTATGAACTCTTGTCTAGTTGTAATCTTGAGTGCAGTTTGGGTCTGATACAGTACACAGGGATACATAATAGTTTTGAGAACTTTGGCCCTTCTTAATCGATCAGCAGGACGTCTTTACTTAACCAAGAATTTCTTTAGTTGACACAGCTCTATTCAGTTTATTTTCCACCAATATCATAAATATAATAATATAAGACATCAGTCAGTACAGGCCTTACAAGATTTTTTTGTGACACACCAATCAAATCCAGATCTCTTCCTACCCTGAAGTAATTGTTATATGGCCTTGGTTCTGTCAACAGGATTTTAATGTCCATTATCACAACCTTTTTGAGAGAATGAATGAATGAACAAAATAGTCCCTTTGAGTAGACTGCCAAAAGTGCTGACCTGGACATTTTGATCCAGTCGCTCCCACAGTCTAAGAATGACAGAAAGGATACTATTGTGCAAGGCAAGTTAGGAAGCAAGTCACAAGATAACGAATCTAATCAGCAATATTTTACAGAATTGTTGTCTAGTTTACAATTGACATAAACAGCATTTCCAAGCAAGATAACATTAGCTCATACAACGGAAAAAATTTTAGTTGTTAATTTTGTTGTTAATGTTTGTGTAGATGCAGTAGAAGGAAACACTTCATTTTGTTAGTGAAGGCATTTGACAATTCATGAAAAACTAGTTACAGAAACTGCATTAGTATTTTTGTTAAACTGAAGGGATATAGATAATCACTGCCGGTAAAAATGGCTTAATGAAAAAGCTGTTGTGTTGTGGGGGAGGGCTCGTGGGCTTGTGCTAAAAAGTTATGCATTCAGAATTACAAAGGAAGCTTGTGAGGGCATTCCATAGTAAGGCTATGACCACTATTCACACTCAGCTCAGCCTTTATCAGTAATTGTGTACTCTATTATGTTGTAAAAATAAGAGACTTGTTATAAATGATCTGCTCTATATTGGACATGTCTTGGAGGTTTGTGGAAAGCGTGTGCCGTACTTTACACATCTCTGCAGCAGTAGTTTGAGCCTATGACAAATCCACTCCAAGCACACACCCTCAGACACGCTCTTGCCAGGTGTCATGTGTGAGGCTTGTCCTGCTGGCCGGCCCATCTGTGCTGCTGCTACAGACCTATGAGTCAACGGGGCAGACAGAGTCCCACTGTTGCGTGTAAAAAGTGTGGTGGTTGCTGCCCTTTAGACAGTTGATGTAACAAACCCTGCTTTATTTGGATAAAAATGACATTGTATAATGACAGATCAGTAAGAATTTACAAACTTTTATCCTAAGAAACAACTCTGAGCTTACAATGTGCCTAAACTGGAACTCAAGAGAATCTGTAAAAACTAGAAAAGGACAAAATCAGAATTTCATGTAATATATGGATTATGCAATATGAATCCAAAATGTAATAAAACTATCACTTCATTATATAATTTTATAATCATTTGCTGCAGTATTATTAGATAATGCGAAGACTAAACATGCTTCAAACCTCTGCAATTAAATACAATATAAAGTAGCTGTAAAATAACCTGTGTTAGACCACTAGTGATGCCTGCACCATAGTTTGAGGTCCATTGTTACAGAGGGATTATGATGATCCAGTCCGAAACTAAGTCCCTAATAGATTCCAAAGACATTGTTCAGACATGTGTCAGTACTATAGTACATATAAGAATCTGTAGTTCTAGACTCAAGGCGCTAAGCTCTGTTGCTGTATTAAAATCTTGAAGGTCACTGGAAATAAACATAAACATTTATTTTGGAGAAAATTGTACCTTCTGACAAAAACTGACTGTTCTTTGTACTTTACCCCTTCTATGACTCAAGTGTGTACTCGTGGCATTTTTATATTGATTATGTGCGTAATTGCACACAGTATGATAACATGCAATATAGTTTTTTCATAACCATAACAGATCTTTAGACTAACAACTGCAATATAATAATGCAGTACAGTGTTGGTCAGATTACTTTGCAAAAGTAACTGTTAATAGTAATATAATTGCTACTCTGATTACTTTATTTCAAAAGTGATTTACTATGAGTTACTTTGAAAAAAAAACAAAAACAAAAAAAAAACTACAGCTCAGGAACCAGCTTGAATTTTTCACTTCCTGTTATAGAACCCAATATTAAGCAGTGGACGTTGGTCACAATTATTAAACCAATATTTGTGTTGTTTTGGTCCAGAGCTGATCTGTGTTTGACACCAGAGGAGGACTTTCTGTGCTCCTGTTCATCTTTTTACTGTTTTACGACACAGTTCTAATGGATAGCACAAATTTTTGTCACAGAAAAAGTAACTACAAGTTACTAAACCAATTAACTCAATTGTAACTAGTTACATTACTGCATTACTAAAAAGTAATATGATTATGGTCAGTGTTGGGAAGGTTACTTTTAAATGTATTCCTCTACAGATTACAGATTACATACCCCAAAATGTAGTTTGTAATGTAATCCATTAAATTACTTAAAGTGAGTAATGTAATCTGAATACTTTGGATTACTTGATATTGTCATGATTTTTAAAAGGACATGAATGTAGCAATGACATCCTGAAAATTCTTGTTTGTTCTCTTCAAATTGTATGTTGACCCAAAGTCTCCATGAATAAGCAACTGTTTGCTGTAGAGAAGCAAAGACTAGGCTCTATTAGGATTAGGACTAGGATGTTAACATAAGATGTTTTGTCTCCCAAAAGACAATAACAAGCTCAGTCTTTCCTTAACCATATTAAAAAATATTATTGATAGAGAAATAATTTTTATATGAGATCACCTTAAATGATGTCCAACCTACTGTTAGGTGTCATATTGTTTAGACCTGGTTTAGTCCTGGTTTTAATCCTGGTTTTAGTCCTGATTTTAGACCTGGTTTAAGACCTGGTTTAGTCCTGGTTTAGTCCTGGTTTAGTCCTAATTTTAGACCTGGTTTAGTTCTGGTTTAGTTCTGGTTTAGTCCTGGATTAGGCCTGGTTTAGTCCTGGTTTAGACCTGGTTTAGTCCTGGTTTAGTCCTGGACTGGGTTAGTCCCGGTTTTAGTCTTGGTGTTAGTTCTGGTTTAGAGGCTCACAGGAGGAAGCGCGGTCTACGCAGCGTACGCGAGAAAACGGTGCACGGAAGGAGACGTGGTCCGTGCGTTCTCAGGTTGATGACGATGATGAAGGTGTGTGTTTGTGTTTGTGTGTGTTTGTGTTTGTGTGTGTTTGTGTGTGTTTGTGTGCGTGTCCCCTCGTGTGGCAGGTCACTATAGGACAGTACTGCAGTTATCATGAGCCTACGCAGGTTGTTTTCACCAGTGCCAGTAGCTCCGGTTTGACATTTAACTTGTAGGCGATTTTATATTTGTTATTTTTTTTTATATCTCACGTCGGGAGAAGAATTTCCAAGACACAAATGTGTTTTTACCTGTGCACTGCTGCCTCTGTTCTACTGGCTCTTTGACCGCGTCCAATGTGTGACTGACGCCGCCAACGTTAACATGACGTTTACATTGCTCTTATTGCCACGTTCTGGTTGGGGTTCCAGCAATGAGTGGAATTACCAAAATTAAAAAATAAATAATGGGATGTAGCACAAAATGTGAAAACAGGAAAATGCCGCCTTGTAATCCACTTATTTCAGCAAAGTAACTGTAATCCAATTACCACTCATTGAAACAGTAACTGTAACCGAATACAGTTACTCATAATTTGTACTCTGATTACGTAATGGCGGTACATGTAATCCGTTACTCCCCAACACTAATTATGGTAATACCCTACTTTGTAACTAATTACTGCCCAACAGTCTTGCAGGATGAACAAATGTCACAAATGTCACAAATATTATTGAATCACAATAATTTCTTCACAAGTATTCTCCATCTGAATATTGTTTCTCTTTTTTTTTTCCAGTGTTCCAGGAGCGCCCCACATTGCCTCCTACCCAGTCACAGGCCGTGGCCCGGAGTATCCCCCCAGAGCAGTACTCCTACACCGCCTCCGTCTTGAGACTACTTCGTAACAAGCCGTTTGTCCTCCTCATCATCACCTATGGTACATCAATACATGCACTCTGCATCCCAACCTGAACAACTGACTAGTTCTGGGGAAATTCCCCAGTACAAAACACCAATGCACACATGGCATGAACACATGTGTGTATGTGTCATAGAAGGGTCCAAAGTTCATCCATGGACTAATAAAACTCATGTGTTCAATCAGTATAACATTTTTTTCTTTCAAAACATATTGTATTAATTTCACTGTATGGATTGTTTATGTCTCTGTTATTACTTTGTGTACAGCTGCTAAAAATTCACACGCTTTTAGATTTACAAGAGACCTTTACCTGTACCCGCCTCTGTCAAGTCTCACACAAGTGTTCGATATCCCAGCAACAGACATGACACCTACTTGTTTAGTGACACTGGTGGAGTGCTTTTGAAATGGCTGTCAGAGGGATAGGTAAACTAAAGTATATTTGCTTAGAGATATTTCTGTAATCTTAAATTTTTTTTTTTTGAATATATATTAGATGTTGAGCAGTGAAATCACTTCTTCAAATCTTTAAGCTGACCCAAATTTTTGCACTCTACTTTAAGTCCCGCAGCATAGCTGTTTAAGTAACACTGTGAAAAGGTATTTAGTGCAGCCTTATCCTTTTATAGAAGTCCTTGGTTTCTTGTTTTGGAAACTTAGCCTCAGGGTTGACTCAACTAAAATCTTAAAAAAAGAAAGAAATGTTCACCTAAGGACATGTACACTTCTAAGCCAAACTCTATTGTTAAACTTTGTACAATACAATGTATATCCTTCACCTCTGATCCAAAGCTGTCTGTTTGTTTATTTCCAGGCTTGAATGTGGGTTGTTTCTATGCAGTCGGCACCCTGCTGAACCGAATGATCATTGAACACTATCCTGTGAGTCTTAACTGTATTTGTTATTATTCTTTAACTTAGTTTACAGGGCCCATGTACAGGAGCATTAATCAAGCAAACAGTGAAGAGATGCTTTATACCAAACTGTAGCTCTTAAAGCCAGTTTCCATCTGCTGTCCCTGAGACATACAAAACATTTAGCATGAAACAGTCTATATACAAATAGTAAAAAGTACAATGGCATTAAATACCTCTGTACCATGTCCACCCTACTCCCGCTGTGCCTTTAACCAGATATAATTCTATTGTATCGTCATTAGTTATAAATTATAGCATATATGTTTCATCACATTTGCCTAATCTGTGTTGTTTTGACTCTCAGGGAGAAGAGGTGAATGCTGGGAGAATAGGCCTTACAATCATCATCGCAGGAATGGTGGGGTCCCTCATCTGTGGAGTGTGGCTGGATCGAACCAAAACATACAAGTAAGACACATTTGAGTATAGCATCTGAGGATCACATATGTTTCCTGTCACAGTAGTTGTGTGTTTGTTTTGGAGATTGGACAGTGTTTTTTTAGGTGCTAGATCTGTGACACTTTTGACCTTCTGATTGTTCTTCTGTCCAGGGAGCTAATGTCCACACCCACCCATTCAGTGTAGCTGTATAGATGAAAGCATGTTTAGTGTACATTGTTGCTACAAGACACTACAATGGGGTTTTAGATCATTTAAGGACAGAAGATGTATTCATATATTTTAAATGTTGTAGCAATAGTTCACCTTAACTTTAACTCAGTTTGAGGGTTGACATTAATCACTCTTTCTTATGTATTCGATTTAATTTGTGTACAGCTCTTTGGTTGACTGTGTTGTTTTTAAAGTTCTCTAGAAATAAAGTCGATTTGAGTAGTGAAAAAATTACAAAACAACAAAAATAACCCATTCAGATAAAATTATGATTTGACCTGATTTAAATCATGCATCATGTCACTTTTCTGGTGGAGGGTCCATCAAATGCTTTTCTCCATGTAGCTGTTATTGGTTTGTCTGAAATATTTTACAGTATGGCATTAAATCCTTTCTATCACCATGGAGACCAAACTAGTCTAAGTTACTGGTCAGATCTGTTGAGAGTTAGAATAGCTATTTTTCTAATTATTTTTGAGCAATAAACCCACTATAAATGCAAAGTAGATCTGTTTAATGTCACATTTTGGAACATTTGAAGCAGAGAAGTGACATATCTATAGAAACAATAGTACATAGTGCACCTTTAATCACAAGTTGCATTTACATTTTACTTCCTCCTGGTTTATATGCAGCAAAATGTTTATTTTCTTCACTTAATATTGATGTGTAAACTGGTATAGTTTAAATTTCTTGCTCCCTGTAATGTCCTTTTAAAATAAACAGTTCCTCACAAACATAATTTCAATGGTCAGATTTCACTTTTAGCAGTTTTCTGTGATTTGAGATCTCGACACTTGTTTGAGGAATGTTGGTTTAGGTTAGACTTTTCCAGCTGGATTAAGGTCAGCACATCAACAGCTTGTTTATTGCCGGAATTGAAGTTTATTATTGGCTTTCTACACACATTCACACACACACAAAGGATTGACAACATTATAAAATACGTATTTTTTGCTTGTCCATTTAACATAGGTGTGTGCTGAATAAATACACACATTTTAACGAACGTTGCTTTGGCTTGGCCTTTTTTGAGAGAGCAAATTGCAATAGTTGCTATATTTGTGTTGAATCTGCCCTAAAAATTTTGTCTTTTTATAATGTACAGAATATTATGTATATTTTTTGTAATGTTCATAATAGTTTGTGGTTTTGTGTGTGATTTTAGGCAGACTACTCTTGCTGTGTACTTCATGTCTCTGGTTGGGATGATTGTATATGCTGCCACCCTCAGCCTGGGGCACCTTTGGGTGGTCTTTATCACCGCTGGATCCCTTGGGTAAAGTCTTTAAATTTTTTAAATAAAATTTACTAGTGTGGATCTTTTGCCCCATATACAACAGATACAAATGGCATCGGACATGCCTTTCTCTAAAAATATTCCAATGGTTCTATTGAGATACTGGTAAGAAAAATATGGCCAAAATGGCTATTAAACTGATTATTATGAATTATATCAAAATAACCTATTCTTTTATTGTGTCTCATCTTGTCTCTTGAAAATTGTGTCTCATTCCACCCCTAGTGAGAAAAGAAAGAAATTATGCAAAAAAATTAGACCATAAATTATATAAAGATGAAAATATCCAATGTAAAAAGCACTGAACACTTTAAAATCTTATACTTTGTAGAAAAAGACTATGCGATTTTGGCCCATTCTTCCGCACAAAACATGACGTTTCATTGGTATGGTTCTTGAGACATTCTTTCTCTCCAATTTTCTCTGAATACATTATTAGAACTTCCTTGGCTGTTTGTTTTATGTTCTCTCTGCTAAACTTCACCATCAGGATGTTCTAGTAGATTTTGGTAATTTTCTTTCCACTTCCGTTTAATAGCCCTGACTGTGCAGCTGTGCTTTCTCTGCCTTTATGCACCTCCCTTTCTTCATGTGTTGAATACCTTTTCTCACTATGGGATATAACATAATTTATGTACATGACATGTATGAAATATGAACATGACTCAAGTTGACCCTCTTTAAAGTGATCATACACTATATCAGTGTATTTATAGATAATGTATAACTTGGAGTTCTACAAATGTGCACAAAGGTCAGATCTGCCAGCACCATTAGACTCCAATTTGACCCACTTTTTGTTTTCCACAATTTGGCTAATGCGTCATCTATTTTTTGGATTGAATGCCATTTAATTTAATGATTCTTCCATTTTATCTTTGCTTCCAGTGAATAATTTCACCCACTATATACCATATATGTAAATAAACACTGTATATATATATATATATATATATATATATATATATATATATATATATATATATATACACGAAAGGGCTATATTTAGCGCTTCCTTGTGGTGCAGGTTGAGCAGCTCCTTGAGTCGTGCTCAGACTGGATAGGACACTGCCTTTGCTAGAGTTTTGCCTATATAAATGTATATATTATCTCGCTATATAATTAATGGTAGTTTGAACCGCCCCGTGTTTTATCCTAAAACTGCTCGATCAACTCAATTACTTATTTTCATAAGAGAAAAAATATTCCTAGAAACACCCTTCAAAACAGGTTAAGGTTTGGTTTTCTGTAAGGTGTTTTTGTATTGACTAGAATAACAAGTCAGTCTTGAATCATTTTATTACTCATTAAGTGCTTAAGACGCCCCAGGTTATTTAGGTTGCTCTGTTGTGACATTTTATGTTTTTGTTTTTCCAGTTTCTTCATGACTGGATACTTGCCTTTGGGCTTTGAGTTTGCAGTGGAGCTGACCTACCCAGAGTGTGAGGGCACATCGTCAGGCCTCCTCAACTGCTCTGCACAGGTACATTTAAAAGATAATTAGTCACCAGAGCTTAACATAATTTATAAATGTGTATATAAAAACAAACTGAATACATCAACCGCACTTCAGAATATGGTCTGCTACACATTTTCTGAATGTTGTGATTGCAACTGTAAGCATGTGTATTATGGAAAAACTACAGCTCTGATCTGGAAGTGATTTAATGCAAAACACTGAAACTTTGCTTGTATGTGTTTGTTTGATGGACTACACTAACCACATATTTCACGTCCAGGTATTTGGCATTATTTTCACCATCTGCCAGGGCAAGATCATTGACGGGTATGGTACACTGGCCGGAAACATCTTCCTCTCCGTGTTTCTTCTGATTGGCACAGTAATGACTGGTGAGGATTTGAAAAATATCTGTTCTTTTTCTACATAAGAAAAATGCAATTTCAGGGAGTTTCCTATTTTGTAGTGGAGATAGTAAAAGGCCATCCCTGAGTTACTGAAAGCGGATTAATGTGTATTTTGTAACTTACACCCCCATACTATACAAACATGAGAGAAGCAGCAATTATTTTTTTTCTTTCCATTGTTAAAATATAATATTTTCACACAGTAGCTCTTGACCCTCTAGGAAAACTACTTGAACCTATTATGTCCAATCTTTAACTTTTTAAAAGTTCATTACTCACTGAAGCACTAAACTTTGTTCACAAGGAAACACAAGTTTTGATGAGACTTTTGTGGTGACAAAGGTCATTTAACTGACTCACTGTTTTCTGCTTACTCAGCTTCAAAAACACCAGTGAAAAACTGCTTTCTAGAGAAAAGCATTCATCACTCTTAAAAAGACACAATCAGCATTCAATCAGGTCATGGATTAATTACATTTTTTATGTTGTCAGTTGAAAATGGGCTGTTAATGAATGGACAATCCAATATAATTTAGATATAAGTATATTTAGATATAAGTGGGTAACAAAATTGAACTGTTTATTTGTACAACAGAGCCATCTGTTGGTTGACCTTAGCTACTGCAGAGAAAGGTTTAAGTGGCTATAAAGTTTATAGTTTAAACTGAAGCAGGTTAACTAACATTTTGGAGCTGTGTTACTTGCTGTGTTATTCAGAACATAAATGTTAGAGACTTTTTTAATTTGCTTTTTTGTAGGTTTCATCAAGTCTGATCTTCGCAGACAAAATGCAAACAAGACTGCTGTAGCGATGGTGAGCTGGCTCAAAGCTTATCTTTCACTACCAAACAGTTCTCTTTGATTAGTTTTTATAAACATGTTTCAATAGTGGAATAGTTAATTTGCCCTCAGTAAATGTAGTAATGTCATAACTGGGATATATAAAAATCTGTTTATTTCAGTAGTTCAATTCTAAATACAGACACTATATTTTAATTTTAGTATATGTAAGTATTTTTAATACACTGTAGTAATACAATGGTTATGCAACACAACAATATTTTATATTTTTCACAGAACTAAATGAAGTAAATGATTGAATGAATTCTGGGTGTGCAGAATCTGTAGATGTGATTCGCCTTTTAAAACTGAACTATTCATATGATTTAACTTCAACAAAGTTGTTGGCCATTGATTTGTTTTTGATTAATCCAATATTGTGATCATGAGGCAAATCTCTATCTTGAGTGATTAAAATGGTATGTATACTAACACTCAACACTCTAACTAACCCACTGGACACTGGACCGTCCCTCCAGAGTGGCATGGCATGTGAGTGATCAGTAGCTGTTGTTTTAGGCGGGAGGGCAGATGGCGGGACAAGACTATGGAGCCACAGCCCTAATCACAGACCAGACGCAGACTCCACCCCCTCCTCCCTCTCAAGAATAATCTCTAAACCTATCCACTTCCAAAAAACAAACAAATAAACTCAAATCTTTGCTGAACACATCACTGTGTGAAGGTAGGAGCACTGCTGCTGTCAATCAAACATCTATTTCTTTCTTTTATGATTTTTAAGCTTTCATCATTTACGCTATACATAGCCTTGTGATTTTTATTGCTAATTAAAATTCAAAACTCTTTGAAAAAAACCCAAAAAACAATATATATATACAATTAATACCCCTCCTCTGTGCTCTTTCCTAATAGTAAAATGCATGCTACTAACTTTACTGTATATTAACTGCATGTTCCTATCTAGGATTTTAACCTATATTTACCCTTATTTATCACATTCATCTGTCAGACATAACATTATGACCTTGCAGTATCAAAGCCCTATTATCATTCACCTAGTTGGCTCAAACTGACTAAATTTCTAACATAACATAACATAACAATTTTCCTTGCTTATAAATATGGAATAACTCTAATTTAAGGATTACATTTGTTTGTTCCCTTAAATGTCCTGTATTACATAAAATTGACTCTTGTGAACTTTTAGTCATGATGGAAGCTTGTTACCTCATCAAAAACATACCTGGAGTTGTGTTTTGTGTCATTCACATGTGTATGAGTAACCTTTTATTATTAGTCTGTCTACATCTCCAAAGTTCAAAATGATCTGTTTCATCTTGTGATGCCATGAAACAGTAGTTTTCAAGAGAACAGCTACCTTTTACCTTTTGTTTAGTAGAGATTGGCAATTCCAGGACTGAAATTATCCAGATGATTCAAGTGAAGGTGTATGGAGTTTAAGAACCCAGTCCAGCACTTCCAGTATTACCACATGACATCAAAAGTGGAACATAGTGTTTTCTGTATGAGAGAAGAATTCAACTTATGCAGGGTTTGAGTGTTAAACATGTGTGTATGAAATAAAATGTACATCTAGGTATGTTTGTGAGGAAACGGCATTATAACATAGATCAGAAAATACTGTAATATGGGCACTAACCTTTGCAACCCATTTCACTTTAGTGGTCATAATATTATGTCTAATTTGTGTATATTTGATGGCTTAAAATAAAATTTTCTTTTTTGATCCCCAGGAAACTCCTGATTGCCTGAACACTAGTGCTCCATCACAAATAATCCTCAGAGAAGAAAAGTTTTAAACGAACAGTTCACGTGTTGATCTTCCTGTTACAAGAAAAGTGCATCAGGAGACACTTCAACTCCACCCACTGATTTAACATAAACATTATACAAGTTATTTATTACAGGATCAAATTCAGCAAATAGATTTTTTTTTCAACTTAATATTTGTGTATTTTTACTAATAATGCAATGCTGGAAGTCTGAACCAAATCTGTGAAATATTTAAAATAATAAATGTATAAAATGTAATATGTAAAGAAATCCGAGAAACGAGGTTGCCACTTTTCTGATGATCATGTACAAAAGTGAAACACTGATTTTAATAAGTTTCATTAAGTTTTAACCTCAAATGTTTTAATTATGTAAAATAAATGTAAGCTAACACTTACATGTATCCAAGATAACATTAAAAGTGTTTGGCACCATCAAGCTGTTGTTTCTCATTCTTGTTCTTTCTTCCCCCCAATTTTCTGGAAGCTCCAGGCCTTTTAAAAGGCTTTTATTACCCTGTAATAAATGTAAGTTCTTTGTTTGATCCCATAGACATTTCTTGAGTCTGTTTCAGCGTCCCACCAAATAGCATTTGGTTTGTCCCACGGCCATCCTTTTGTAATTCACTCTTTGACCACATAGGGGTGATGTTGTGTTACATACAGAATAACCTGAAGAAGCGCTTCTATTGTTGATCTAATTTTCTTTTTCTTTCTTGGATAAAGTGTGTGAATTGCGTAAGACCCGGTCCTGATTGCGCTCCGTTGGCACAGCGCACAGATAAACGCTCTGTGGACGTTTGCGCGGTGAGGTCACGCTGGTTCTGCTCCAGTATTCTGAGCATTTCCCATCTGACTGACTCTTTGATGAGCTCATTGTTTTTTGCCGCCATAATGACTGATCTTGAGCACAAAGATGGCCGCTAGTGGCCAAACTATTAGTTTTTATTTTTCTTGGTGCCGAAAGTTCTTCTCTAAGACTTGTTTTCAGCATTTCGGTGGCCATCAGCTCAGGTAAATCAAGTAAACTTTTAAGTTACAGAGGCTTACTCTCCAGCTTATTACAAAATGGAAATAGTATTTATATATTATGATACCCTCCTTTATGTCTCACTATTTGTGCGAGCTATGGGTCTCCTCAGTGATAACAAAGGTTGTGTTTTCATCCATCCAATTATCCATACATGTCACATACGTAGGTGCACTGGGCCCTATAGGCAATACAGGCCTACTATTAATGACATGTTATATGTATACTTAAAGGGCCCATAGTACACCAATTACTGATCTCTGTTAAAATGTTTACTCATCAAACAACTGGAGTGGTGTTTAATTTCATTTGCACATTTTTAACACACAAACCTGCATATTTAGGCTGAGTTCATCTTTCAAACAAAACACTGTGTTCCACCTTGTGATGTCATGTGGTAATGCAGGAAGTGCTCCACTGTATTTTCAAACTCCGTACATCTTCAGTAGAATCATTTGGATGATTTCAGCCCAAGTATTGAGAATCTTGCGTGAACTAAAGGTAAAAGGAACTACTGACTTGAAAAGTCTTGATGACATCATAAGGTAGAACAGAGCATTTTGAGCTTTGGAGATGTAGACTAAAAATAAAGGGTTACTCAGACATGTGTGAACAAAACAAAATGAGGCAACAACATTATGACATGGCTTAAAGCTCACAAGAGTCACTCGTGTAATATAGGACCGTTAAGAGTATGATGCCATTTTTATATTTTGTTTTTGTTTTATAATTTTTCCATGTAGCTGTAATTCTTGCCAAACAAACACTGCACTTTCTCAGCTCATGACCTCCTAACTCATGTCGTATAACAAGCTGTATTCAAACACTCACAGCCTCCATCTCCACAGCCCTGCTGACCTGAGCCTCTGAGCACAGTACTGGTTTTGCCTGTGGGTTAGTAGTATTCATAATGTGCTGGCTTGGCCTCTGCATTACAGTGAAGTGCGTCATTTCTCTTAGTGCGGCTGATCCTATCTCCCACCGATCCATCCTCCACCACAGACCAGCAGAAGCACTATATTTAGTTTAATGACCACGACCAGGCGCAATCTGCAGTTGGTGAATTCTGTTCTGTGGATAGTAGGTTTCATGCATGAGTTTAGAAATTGAAACAAATAACAACAAATTATCTTGGGACTGTATGATGAGTTTGGTTCTCAAATTACAATTATCCAATCAGAAAGCAGAATGAGCCTTCCAAGAGTCTCTTATTTGGGTTGCCAGTTCTTATGACTAAAACCAGATTTCTGTGTTCTGAATCCTCACTGCCTGAACCCCAGCACCTGCAGCCAATCATGAATCAGTGCTATGCCGCCTCTGCAGCTCTGTGAGCACTACAATGTCCGGCAATTTAAAACACTGTCAGCACAGGTTCAGTTGTGATTGTTGTTCCTTTTTAAAACCACTGAAATCGCTGGCTACTGCACCTTTAAGTACTATTATTTCAGACTGAAATCACATGTCTCCACATTTGTGTCCGTGCGGTAAAGGTCTGTCAGATAGTCATTTATTGTGTTGTGGGACTGCTCTTTGTGTAAAAACACATTATGCACAGATAGACTGCAGGAGGGAGGGGCCCTCTGAACTTATTGAGAATATTTACTGTTGGACTGGAGCCAAGAGCTGTGCTAGGTACCACTGATGTATTTCACAACACTCAACGGAGAAGATAAAGGCATCTCTCACAGCCATAATTCATGTTTTTTGTTTGTTTTTTTCCTTTCATTTGCCTTATTCTATCTTGAATTATTCAGTGCAAGAGGGCTTCTGAAGAGAAGTCCAATTTTGTAATCTTGAGACAACAAACAGAATCAACTTCTAATTATTGCAAATAGTTTTATTTATCAGTTATTCTGCACTTGCACAATTGATATTCTAAAAATTTTCTCACAAAAAAGTGGCATGACCTGATAATCTAGGTCATTTCTGTGAACAATGTAATCCACAAATATTTTAATTAAGCAATATTAACAATTTACAGTCATTCTGGCTTTATTGTTAACTGTTATTTCACACTAACCTATGGCTATTAGGACCTATTAGTCCTCAAAGTGTGTCATGTTATGTTGTATTTGCGTTGGTTAGCTACAGCTCTTTTGGACTCATTTCCTCTATTGTTTAGCATTTTATTGTTCAGCGGAAAGCGGTTTAACCTAGTATTAAAATGGAAAAATCACTTCATTTTCTTCAGCTACTGTTTTGGCTTTTGCAGCACACCTCCACACCTCAGCAGCCGTAAAAGAGCCCGGGCATTTGGAGGTGAGAGGGCCACTGCTTCCTGTCACAGACACATTGTAATGAGTACAGGCCCATATGGAACTTTTTACTGTGTTTTATGACAAGTGCAGTATTGATGCGAGTGTCTTTGATTTACCTTTAGTCGGAGGAGCGCCCCGGGCTGGAGATGGAGGTGTTCTGCTTTGGGAGCTGGCAGGAGGATCAGAGACTTTAAGGTTTGTGGGCTTTGGCACTGGCTCTGAGCTCCAGATTAACCTGCTCAGTAGTTAAATAAACATACTTCCACACACACTCACCATCAATGGACGTTTCACCAGCCGCACAGCTCCCAGCGCACTCTATGATGCAATTAGACAAACACACACAATCACATGTGCAGAGCTGGGTCCATACATTCTCTCATAAAGGCCCTACAAGCTTTTACATGTGATGATGAGTTTTCTCCAACTTTTCATGCCCGCCCCAACCTAAACCAGTGGAGAAAAGTTAGAAAATGTGTCATCAAGTACAAGTAATTTCATAAATAAATATTTGGAATTTGTAGCATTATTATTTTACAGTTTCATGATATGTTCTGCATTGAATATTAGATGATATTGCACAGATATTATGTAGGCCACTTTGCTGAGTGTATCTTTTTACCACAGTTACAATGACAATAGTAACTACATGCTGTAAGATTTGTTGCTCTTTAAAGTGCAGTGATGCTACATTTTTTCACTGTCATTAAATACATAAACCACCTAATATGCCTCTCAATAATAATATTGTACTAATAATACATACATACACTACCAGTCGAAAGTTTAGACACATGTTTTTTTTCCTTATTTTTTCTACTGTCTACATTTTGTAATAATTTTGTAGTCAAGTCAAGATTTTTTTTTCCAAATATTGTTCGTCAAAGCAAAAAGTAGCTACTTCAAGTATTTGAATATAAAAATATATATTTAATATATATTTATTAGTTATTCAACTTTTCTTCTTAGCTACATATTTCCATATATCTTATGTCATATATTTGATCTCTTCTGTATGCGAAGACATAGAAAACACTGAATGAGATGGTGTATTTGATGTTTGACTGGTAGTGTATACATACCATGCTTGATGATACATTCCTACTGTGTTGAATAAGTTGTGTTCAGAAGAAGCTTAAGAAAAGAAAAGGGTGTAAGTGACGTTGTTGTACTTCAAACCAAATCAGATCATACAGTATGTGTGAGAGGCAGCTGCAGGTCAGTGGGTCTGCACTCTGCTCGTTAACCCTGTAGCGACTGGTCATGTAAAAGTACACACATGAAGGCCTTGTACTTGTACACAGAGAGCCCAGGGTCCCTCAGTAAAGAGAGCTTTGTTATTTAGGCCTGTGCCAGAGCAGAGAAGGAGCTGGAAAATACCCAGGATCCTCGGCGCCAAGTCACTTGCTCTTGGAAAATCCAGCCCAGAGGTGTCCAAGCAGCAGGCCTGGCTTTAATCACCACCTCACACTCTTTCTGACAGAAAGGTGCCCACAATCAATCGTTTAGGATCAATCAATGATCCTAAACTTTATTTCTTTATTTTTTTAACCCATCTTCAAAAATGTGGCGCAAACATTTAATAAATCAACTTGTTTAGGTGTGACTTGTTAATGAGACAACAAATAGAAGATAGATTTAGGAACTGCCCTAGCAAAAACCTTCCATATCCATTAGCATTAACCATATTTTAAAGGCTCACTGAACTGAATACACCGTCAATCAGTTCATTCAGTATTGATTGTAAATGTGTTACTTTGTGAAAGCCCATCAGTAAAGTCAAAGAACATCAGCACTGTCATATTTGCATGCTAAAATGTTTACAAAGTAATATAAGTTATATTTATTTCCAATTTAATCTCTCACTACAAGATTACATTGTTTGAAGTACTTTTCCAATATGAATTTTCTCAATTCTATGTCACTATGGACATATTTTGTCCAGTCCACTTTGATCCACCAAAACTCACTGAGGTCACAAGAAAAATGGATTTCGTAAGCCAACAATCTGTGTCAGGATGAAGATAAAAGTACAGTTTCTTACACACGCCCTGTTTGTGACTGCAGAGCACACTCAGCTGCTGTGGATGGGGCTCAAGCGTTTGACCATATGTGACACTCAAGTGAAAACTACAACTCTTTAATACACCC